CTCAAAATTGTGCTAGCGTAGTCGTGTTTGGGCTCATTTTGAAGCGAAGCGCTCAATGAGTGGAGCAAGAATATATGAGTTTTAACACAAAATTATGGACAATAAGAGAGTTATGAGCAATTTCAGAATTTTTTGGAAAATTTGAATAGCTCATACTTCGCTCATTTTTCAAAAGTTTGAAATCAACCACATTTAGTTTTACTCAACTCGCCATGAGTTTCAAAATGAGCCCAAACACGACTGGTCTAGCTCAACTTTGAATTTTGTGCATATATGTTGCGGTCGCGTCGCGGCTGGTGGGTCAAAACTCAAAGTTGAGCTAGACTAGTCGTGTTTGGGCTCATTTCAAAGCTCTCAACGAGCTGAATCGAGTTATACTACTTTTGATACGTTGAGATCAAGTTTTAACCTGTTTCCGGGAGATTTGAAATTTTTGAATTTTTGAAAATCTTCAATTTTGGGCCATTTTGGTCCCAAAACTCACTCTTTCTTATTCTCAAACAGCGTAATTTGCTTTTTAAGTGCATCTTTCAACGCGTTGACAGCAGCCATTGTTTCTGTGCCAATTGGTCCGTCGGTTGGTCCTTCTTCAGAGTCGGCAGTATCATTTCAACGTATTTCCGAGATAGATAGACCCATTGATGCAGGAACATTCGCGCTTTTCGGGACCGCTCGTGTTTCGGCATCTGAAATTCGAGAAATTGGCTTAAAATCAATGAAAATGGGGCTGAAAAGGCGCTGAAAATGACCTAGATCAGCTGAAAATGGCCTAGAATCGTCGAAAAATGCCAATTTCGAGCTTAAAAACAAGGAAATTTGGCTGTTAGCTCAAAACTACAGTAATCCACCTTTGAAAATATTGATTTTCAGCCAAAAAAGAGAGCTAATTTTTTATGCGTTAAGTATGGGAATTTTGAGCCAAAAACCTTCAATTTTCAGCTCACAACTACAGTAATCCTACAGTACCCCTACCTCGTTTCCATTCTCCTGCTGCTGCGTTGTCTTATCCAAATCTGGCGCGGATTGTACCAATTCGTAGCTGAAAAATGGGGAATTTGAATTTTGGGGTCAAAAGGATGGCCTAGAAATGGTGGCCTAGCGAAATTCGAAAAGTTAGGCCACATCATGCTAAAAATGTCATTTTTAGCGAATTTTAGCTATTTTTGGCGTCAAAAAACATCGAATTTAACGAATTTTTCGCCATTTTTGGAGGTGAAAAATCTCAATTTCACCAAATTTTAGGTCAAGTTTTTAGATTTTTAGCTATTTTCGATGTCAAGAAGCGTCGAATTTCCAGATTTTTGGCCATTTTTGAGGTCGAAACCCTCGAATTTTCGGATTTTCCAGTTATTTTCAGCTGTTTTCATGGCAAAAGTGTCCTGTTTCTGATGATTTTTAGATCGATTTTATCGTATTTTTAGCCATTTTTAGGGTTGAAAAACTCGAATTTTCAGATTTCTGCGACATATTTCTTGGATTTTCAGCCATTTTTGGGCTCAAAAAGCACACTTACAACTTCAATCTAGCCTGATCGGCACTGAATTTCAGCCGATTCGCCTCGTCGATCCATTTTTTCATCAGTTCCGTCGTCAATTTCTTCTTGGCGACCCACGATTTGACTATCGTCGTCAACATTTGTAAATCCATCTCACTCATCGACGGCAGCTCGTTCGGCGTCAATTTCCAATCGATTTGTTCGTGTGGCGCTGGGGTTACTGTAGTTGCGGTTACTGTAGTTTTCGATGGTGTTGATGGTTCCTGAAAATGTGAAAATACTTGGAAAATTCGGTGAAAATTCGATGAAAATAGCAAAAAATAGACTCAAAATCGTCTAAAAGCCTATTGTTCGGCCTTTTTAGCCCGATTTAAGCCATTTTTTTTGTTAATTTTGCCCAATTAAAAGTCATTTTTCGACCGTTTTTAGGCCATTTTAGGCCATTTTCAGCCGATTTCGAGTCATTTTCAGCCAATTTTTCGCTAGGCAGGAGGTCTTTCAGTCATTTATGCACTAGTTTTGACTAGTTTTGACCAGTTTATACCCTATTTTAAGCACTTTTGGAGCATTTTCAGCCAATTTTCGGGTCAATTTTGATCTATTTTCAGCCTGAATTGAGCCGCCGTTTTTGATCGTTTTCAGCCATTTCCGGACATTTTCTGCAGATTACGGGGTCATTTTTAGGTTAATTATTGAGCATTTTCAGCCATGACTTTAGGCTACTTGAAGTCATTTCGAGTCGTTTTCAGCAAGTTTTGGTTCATTTTCAGCCCAGTCTGAGCCACTTTCGGGCAGTTCTAGGGAATTTTTCGTCATTTTTCCGCTGAAAATGACCGAAAATTAGCTGAAAATCGCCGAGAAATTGCCGAAATCGACATTTTTAGAGCCATTTTTACTCGATTTTCAGCCTAGAAAACCGCTTTTTAGCGAATTTTGCAAAATTTTTACTCGATTTTACTCGATTTTCAGCCAATTTAATGCTATTTTTATTGACTTTCAGCCAAAAAAAAACTCAATTTGTGGTCATTTTCAGCCTAATCTGAGCTATTTTTTTTTTAAATTTTTACCCATTTTCCGACCATTTTTTAACTGAAAATGGGTCAAAATAGGCTTAAAATGGTCCAAGAATGGTCAAAACTGTCGAAAATTAGCATTTTTAGAGCCATTTTCACTCGATTTTCAGCTAATTTAATGCATTTTCAGCCTGAATTGAGCCGTTTTTGATCGTTTTCAGCCATTTCCGGCCATTTTCTACAGATTACGGGGATTCATTTTTTCGGGCAGTTCTAGGGAATTTTTCGTCGATTTTCCGCAGAAAATGGCCGAAAATTTGCTGAAAATCGACATTTTTAGAGCCATTTTTACTCGATTTTCAGCTAATTTAAGGCTATTTCAGCCGATTTTCAGCCAAGAAAACCCACTTTTTTGAGCATCGCGTGCGTGATCTGCTTCATAACTTGCTCAGAAGTGATTCCGAAACTCGTTGCAATCGTATAGATCAGTGGTTCGACATTGACTCTCTCACCAGTCGAATTATTGATCAAATCGTAGTACTTCCTGATGATTTCCATCGTTTCATCGTCGAAATTCGTCGATTTCGATTCTTTGAATCGATTTCCCAGTGATTTCAGACGATCGAACAGTTTCGACGCTTTTTCTGCTGTCAGCGCCTTCTGGGTAGATGTAGAAGACGTTGGGGATTCAGATGACGTCGTCGTCTTCTGGGGAGACAGTTTCGGAACGGTTGGGATTCCATTTGAAGTTGATGTCGTGGCCTGCAACATATGACAAATCAATCAAACTGATAGTGATAATGCTCAAAAAATGACTGAAAATGCTCGAAAAATGGCTAAAACTGACTGAAAATAGACGGAAAATCGCCTAAAATAGACTGAAAAAGACTCGAAATGATTTTAAAAAGGTCAAAAATGACTGAAAATAGGCAAGAATCGGCTGAAAATCGCCCAAAATCGACTGAAAATAGTCTAAAAACGTCTGAAAATCTCGAAAAATGGCTTGAACTTGTCGAAAATTGCTGAAAATTGTCGAAAAATGCTTTAAAAATGATGAAAAACTAGCAAAAAAGTCTGAAAATGCTCAAAAATTGGCTAGAGAAAGTCCAAAATATGCTAAAAAAATGACCCAAAATTGACAAAAATTGGCTGAAAATGCTCAAAATTCAACTAAAACTTGTCTAAAATCGCATAAAATCGCAGAAAATGGCTGAAAAATGAAAAATAATTTTGGCCCGAAATTTATCTCGAAACTACAGTAATCTGACTGAAAATGACCCGAAAATGGCCAAATTCAGCCAAATCTAGGTCAAAAAACGCCGCCAAAAATAGCCAAAATTTTGAGGGCTAAAAATCTGCCAAAATCGACTGAAAATTCGATTTTCCCCCAGGAGAAAAAGCCAGAAAACAGACCAATTTGAGGTCGAAAAAAAGCAGGAAAAAATCCCGCAATAAATGGGTCTGTATCGGCTTAAAAACGGTGAATTTGAGCCGAATCTAGAGTAAGAAATGCCAAAAAAATCTCCAAATTCGGTGGAAATCGGTCTAGAATGATCCAAAATGGTCGAAAACAGACCAAAAAATGAAGCAAATTGGATATCTTACCTCTCATAATAACCAAAAAAGCAAATTGGAAAAATTGAAATTTTGCAAAAATTTGCGATTTTCAGCGATTTTTAGAGCAAAAAAAAAAGAGATTTTTCAAAAAATTTTCGAAAAATGGGATTTTTTGAAATTTCGAAAATTTTCAAAAACACATTTTCAGAGAGGATTTTCAAGATAAGACGAATTTCAGCGATTTTCAGAAATAATAGAAAAAAGATCAATTTCTCATGCTCCAAAACGCGTACAGTATGCTCATCCTCATCCATCCTGCCCTTCTTCAGGGTTACTGTAGCAGCTGTTGCCTTCTTCTTGGCTGGTGGCTCTCCGTCGTCATCCAAACAAACAATGTCTGATGAGCTTGATGACGTGGCAGTCTTCATCGTCGGCACCGCAGCATCTGAAGCTCTGACGCCAGGGACCACCGGCGGCGCTGGTCTCTTTCCATTCGGCGGTCCGCCGGCCATTCGTATGGTCGGCGGCCCACCGGCGAGTCTCGGACGTTCCGCATCTGAATCCGACGACGACGATTCCGATTCGCCTGACGTCTTCTTCTTCTTCTGCTGCTCTTTTAGTGGCTTCCTCTGCTGATTTTTCTGCTTTTTCTCTTGAATCTGTGCTCCTCCGTCATCTGAATCCTCCTCCTCCTCATCATCGTCGTCCTCATCGTCCTCGTCGTCAACGTCATTTTGAGCCTTGAGCTCACCACGTCCCGCATAGAATCCGCCCTTTTTTGAGGCAAATACCGAGTCATCGACCTGCAAACATGTCATTTTTTGGGGATTTAGAGGCGTTTTGGGGGCTGAAAATGGCTGAAAATCCAAGATTTTTGATCAATTTCTGGCGAATTTAGGCTGAAAATAGCATTTTTCGGCTGAAAATGACTGAAATTAGCGTTTTTAGCGTGGTTTTTCGACTGGAAATGGCGATTTTCAGTCAATTTTCAGCCAAATTTCCACTATTTCAGTTGGATTTGAGGGGTGGTATGGGAGCTGAAAATGGCTGAAAATCCAAGGATTTTGATCAATTTCTGGCGAATTTAGGCTGAAAATGGCTGAAAATGAGCCCAAATTTCGATTTTTTGTCTGAATTTTCGGGTGCTGAAAATGGCTGAAAATACCAAGCCAAATTCCGGAAAATTAGCTGGAAATGACTTAAAAACATGGATTTTTAAAGCTATTTTAAGCGATTTTTTGCCAAATTTCAATACTATTTTTAGCCCATTTTCTGGGAAATTTCAGGTTTTTCGAGTGTTTTTTTTTTGGCTGAAAATGGCTCTCGAATTTAGAGATTTTGAGCCATTTTTCGCCAAATTTCGACTATATATCACTTTTGCTCGTCTTCTGGCGATTTTAGGCTAAAAATAACGATTTTCAGCGTATTTTAAAGCTAAAAATGGCTGAAAATTCAAGAATTCCGGATATTTTTAGCCTAAATTCGGCTATTTTTTTCTATTTTTTCAGCCAGTTTCCAGGAAAATTTTGGGATCGAATTCGACGATTTTAGAGACCATTTTAAGCCAATTTTGGGCTAGTTCAAGCCTATTTTAAGCCTATATATTTGACCAATTTCAGGCAGATTTTGAGCTGAAAATGGATGAAAAATGAGCAAAAAATCCAAGAATTTTGGATTTATAGGTCATTTCAGGCCGTTTTCAGCAATTTTTTGGTAATTTTAGCCCAGTTTTTCGTCATTTTCAGCCGATTTTCCGCTATTTTTAGCCTATTTTCAGCTACTCACCGCTTCTGTGTCATCGATAAAATCATCGTCCATATCATAGCCACAATTCCGGTTCATGTGCTGAATTTCGTCCAAATTCACTCGTATCTTCTTGCCGGACTTTGATTTCTGCAGAAAAATCGATTTTTTCAGATTCTAGGCTAGTTTTTTTAATGGAAAATCCGAATTTTTTGCTTTAAAACCTCAAAATTGGCGTTTTAAACTCGAAAAAAAAGCTCGAAAAGCAAAATTTGAGCCTGGAAGCCCGGAATTTCACCAGAAAGTTCCAAATTGATTTTTAGGTCAAATTTAGCCGTTTTTTCGAATTTTTCAAAATTTCCAACCGTTTCGCTGAGCTTTTTCGCCATAAACAACGTATCCTCATCGTAGAATCGTCGCAGCTCATCCTCGTCTCGTTGTTTTCCCTGAAAACATTGGAAACATCGTTTTTTCCAGTTTTTAAGCTTAAAAATCCATTTTTTTTTTCAGATTTTTCGCCCTAAATCGATAAAATCGTCTCACATTTTCCCTTAACATCTCATTCCAATCCAAATGAGTGTACTTTTTGCTGCCCGGCTTTGCGATTTGAAGTTTTATTTGGATTATTTCCGATTTTCGACTCTTCTCCGCCTTTTTCTTCTTCTTCGCACTACCCATCGGCTCCATTTTCGGCTGAAAATCGCAATTTTTTGGCTGAAATTTTGGAAAAAAACGCGAAAATTCGGTGAAAAACGAGCGGGAATCCATAAACATTGAGCGCCGACAAAAATGGGTGTTCGCTGGGGCGCGTTTGCTGTTTCGATGGGTTTTAGGAGAAAATTCTTGGCAAAAAACCTAAAACAAGGCTAGGATTTCGAATTTTTACGAAAAAAAAATACGAAAAAAAATTTTTTTTTAAGTTTTATTAGAAAAAAACCGGCTTAAACCTTGAAATCTTCATTTTATATGTTTTTGAAAATATCGAAACTTTAGAATTTTCTAGAATTTGGAGCAATTTTTCGCTTTTTTTGCAAGAAAAACCAAGAAAAATGACATAAAAAACTACCAAAAAATGCAAAAAATCAAGTGTCGTAAGGTTCGGCGCATGGTACGCAACACACACTGCTCTGACACCATGACGCAGAAATGCAGACAGCTATTTTGTGATGGATTTTCAGCTAGTTTTTTGGAAGAATTTCAGCTTTTTTAACTAGAAAAACAGCAAAAAAATTTATTTTGAGGCTAAAAAATAATAGTAAATCCGTTAAAATCTAATAAAAAGCTGGAAATTGTCCAGATTTTGCTCAAAAATGACCTAAAATTTTGTTTTTTCGAAAATATCAAATTTTCTGACGAAAAATTGAAATTTCGCGAATTTTCAAGCAGGAAACCTGTGTGAAAATTAATAAAATAGACCTGAAACACATAATATTCCCAAAGAATTCGACAAAATTCGAAAAATTTGAAAATTCGAATTTTTCCATTTTTTCAGAAATTTCGCAAATTCAAAAAGCTAGAAAAGTGTCTGAAATCGATAAAAAAGCCATAAAATGTACAATTTTTTGAAAAAAAAATCGAAAAATCTCAAATTTCGAATTTTTTGAAAATTTTTCTTAAATTTCCTGAAAACCTTAAAATCCAAAAAAGTAAAAAAAAATATTTATTTATTCATATCACAGTAAATTAAAAAATATATCACCAAAATTTCCAAAAAATATCACTTGGGGGCTAATTATCACTGATTTCAAAAAAAAATAACACAGAAAAATAGGAAAAATATATCACAGAATTATCGAGAATCACTTTTAGAAAAATCGGAAAAACGAGGTTATTATGAGAGGTAAGATATACAAAAAATATATAAAATTCTGAAAAAATTGAAAAAAAAATTTTTGAAATTTTTCGAAAAATTTTTTTTCAAAAAATTCAAATTTCGGACCAAAATTTGATGGGAAATTCAAAAATGTCGCAATTAAATCATCATCAATGACCTAAAATCTGATTTTTCAAAAAAAAATTTGTCAAAAAACAATTTTTTTTGGCTCAAAATCGGAATTTTTCGAAAATTCAAAAACTTCGAAATATTTAAATTTCTCGCCAAATCTCTCTAAGCATGCGATGATCCAGCACCGGCAAGCTGTCCTTTCGTCTGTCCATCACAGGCGACAATCTTCAGACGATTCACCGGCGCGTTCGGCTCAATGGCCTCCTTTAAATCGACTTGTTCCACTATGAACGTCCAAACGTTATCACAATAACGATAGGCACGAAGTTTATCAGCACGGAAATTCACCTGAAAAAAAATTTTAAATGTTGGAAAAAAATTTTCTTCAAAAATCAATTTTTTAGAGAATTTTTGGCATTTTCCAGCCTAAAATTTTATAAAAATTTCAATTTTAATAAAATTTCAATCTATTAATAACTTGCTTTGCAAAAAAAAAACCCTAAAAAATCACCAGAAAATGCCCAAAAAAGAATTAAAAACCAAGTGTCGTAAGGTTCGGTGCCCGGGTCCGCAATACACCTTACCCTGACACCATGACGCAAAAATGCGGACTTTTGAATTTTCGATAATTTTTAGGGTATTTTCAGCGCATTTTTAGCGTTTTAGAGCTGAAAAAAACGATTTTTAACGTAAAAATGATGTTTTTTTTCATTGAAAATTGTTTTTAAACCTAAAATTCTTGGATTTTTCTCGAAAAAATACCAAAAATATCAATTTTTAGGCCAAAATGTTTCAAATTGTATGCCAATTTTCACCTTATTTCTCGCCTTAATTGGGAGAATTCGATTGATCGATTTATCGAATGAGTCCATCACTTTTTTCGACAAATTCTCCGGAATCAACTGCTCGCTCACGAAGTCGTCTAACGTCTTCTGAAGTGCCTCGCCGAGCGTTGTATTACGGTAGAGCTGATAATTCGGTTTTTCCATGTTTTCTGAAATACCAGAATTTTTAGGCCAAAAAAGGAGCAATTTTCTGAAAATTAATTTTTGATATTTTCAGATTTTTTCCCAAAAATTTTCTAAAATTTCGAATTTCTGAAAAAATGAAAATATTTCATTTTTTAAAAGTTTTTGCTTTTTTTTAGGAATTTCTAATTTTTTCTCAAAACTTTAAGTTTTTTCTCAAAAATTCAAATTTTTTTCCTTAAAGGTGGGGGGACATGAAAAAAAGATAATTTTCTCGAAATTCCGTTCAAAGATGCCCCTCGAGGAGTTGAACTTGTGAGGGCGATGATTGAGGGTGCGGCGCCGCTACCGACTGAGCCACGCGGGCAAAGAGAAAGCGCACGCCCGATTGCATACATAAAGTCGAGGACGACAGCTGTACGCAGAGTGACATTAAGCGTTGTACACCGTGACAGTAGAATGCATACTCTAGCTACAAAAAAACTACGAAAAATCTCCTGTCCCCCCACCTTTAAAAAATCGATAACACCCAAAAAAAAATGAAGGTAATCACACCGTACTCTTGTCGGATTCACATAGATGACACACAAAAAATTCGAAAAAAAGGGAAAAATTCAAGTACAACAATTTTTTATTAAAAACCTAAATTTTCACTTTTTCTCAAAATCGTTTTTTAAAGAAAATCGGACGAAATTTGGCTGAAAATTCAGAAATTTAGGAATTCGGAAATTCTAGGAAATTTAGAAAATCAAAAATTCGGAAATTCAGAAATTCTAGGAAATTCAAAAACCCAGAAATTCCAAAAATTCAGAAATTTCAGTTTTTTTCTAGAAAATAGAAGATTTTCAGCCGTAAAAACACAGATTTTTTTTCTAGAAAAAAAAAGCAGATGAACAGAGAGAAATGGAAAAATGTAAGAAAAAATGAAAAAGAACAACAAAAAACGACAGCGATTAGCATAACAAAAAAACATGGGGAAAAAAGGGGGAAAAAGAAGTGATAACTGATAACAAAAAACAAGAAAAAAAAAGAAGCGAAAAACAGGCCAAAAAGAGGAGAAAAATAGAGAAAAATGGAAATTTCAAAAACAGAGACAAAAACTAGGAAAAGAAGTATTTAAGAATCATTTTAAGCTCATTTTTGACCAATTTCGGCGCTCGTCGAAGCCCAAAAAACCACAGATTTCAGTCGAAAAATGAAATTCCAGTTTTTTTTAGTTTCTAGAAATTTTAGAAAAGTTTGTTTTCTGTTTCAATTTCTGCTTTTTTTTGAGGAATTTCGAATTTGTTTTTCAAAATTTTATGTTTTTTAGATATTCAGAAGTTCTGCTTTTTCTCAAAAATTCAAATTTTTTGCCTAAAAAATGACAGAAATTTCCGTTAATATTATTCGTATTTTTAAGCCAAAAAAACGACATTTTAGCATGAAAAATCGACTGAAATCGATTTTTTTTACACCTTGAAAGTCGCAAAATGGTCGAATTTTGAGGATTTTGAAGCAAAAAAAACCAAAATTTAGTGGAAAAATGACCAGAAAATTGTCGATTTTCAGCCAATTTTCAGCGTTTCTGGCTCTAAAAACGCTCAATTTTGGCAAAAAAAAAACAGCCTTAAAATGAGCAATACTTCCGGATCCGAAACAACAAACTACAAAACCAATTGGGACTCTAAGAAACCGGGAAAAGGAGGTATAAATAGCGCAAAATTTAATTTAAATCAAAGACTCGAACAACGCCTCCACTTCCAGCCGTCATAATTCGATGGGGGTTCGATTGAATGACCAGCACGTCGAGCACTTCGTCGCCGCCGTTGTGGAGTTCCTGGAAATGGAAATTTCGAGTTTTCGGGTGAAAAATAGGGGTGATTTATGTTCAAAATTAGCCCAAAATGAGAAATTTTCAATATTTAAAGATTTTCAAAATTCAAAAATGAGAAATTATGAGCAAAATGGGCAGTGATTTGGGTCCAATATAGGCTGAAACTGAGCAATTTCAGTAAGTTGTACCTCCAACTACAGTAATCCTATTTCATAAATTTTTGGTTTTCGAAAATTTCAGCGAATTTTCGTGGCATTTTCAGTCGATTTCTGACAAAACGTAACGAGCGATTTCTTAGTTTCGAAATGTTTAAAATTAACATGTTCAGCAAATTCCATGCTAAAAATGAGCCATTTTCAACGATTTTCAGATCAAATGGAGCATGTTTCAAAACTGCAATTCGAGCTCAAAAATATGGAATTCCATGTTTTTTTAAAGGCAACATTTTTTGGTCGTTTTCAGCCATTTTTGGGTCATTTTCAGCCGATTCTAGGCCTATTTTTAGTCGACTTTCACTATTTTCAATCAAATTTAAAGGCTATTTTCAGCCAAACTTTTTTTTGAATCATTTCAGTCACTTTTAGGTCATTTTTGCCGGTTTTTCGAACTATTTTCAGTCATTTTTAGGTATTTTCCGGCTCAATTTCCTCAGTAATTGTCAGCCATTTTCAGACGATTTTTGTCTAGTTTTTAGCTAAATTTGGACCAATTCCAGTAAAACTTGGGTCATTCTCAGACAACTTTAAGCCATTCAATTTATGGTTATTTTCAGCCGATTTTTGGGACTTTTTCAGCTCAATTTCAGTCTATTTTAGGCAATTTTCAGTAAAATTTAGGGGTTTTTTCGTGCCAGTTTAAAATAATTTATTCAGACCTTTTTTCCAGCCAACATTGGGCCATTTTCAGACATTTTTCGGTCATTTTTCGCCGATTTTGGTTTGTTTTCAGTCGAGTTTAGGGTTAATTTCAGTCACTTTTAGACCATTTTCAGCCGAATTTAGCCTATTTTCAGCCGATTCTGGGCCTATTTTCAGCCGACTTTCACCATTTTCAATCAAATTTAAAGCCATTTTCAGCCAATATTTTTTTGAATTATTTCAGTAATTTTTAGGTAATTTTCAGACAAATTTGGGCTATTTTCAGCCAATTTTAGGACATTTTTTGCCTGTTTCTCGAACTATTTTCAGCTCATTTTCATCCACCCCCCAAATCTCTCACCTTAACCAGCGAACTATCTCGGGCATCGAACACTCTCACTGTGCCATCAATCGAGCCAGTTGTGACGTACGGCGCATTGCCCTCCATCGACCAGATCACTTTTACGATTGCCTGCAAATTAGGAACATAGAGAGTTAATTGGGCTTCCCCTTCGTCTCTTTATTGTTCTCTGTGTCTCTGTCAAATCGAACGACATTTAATGGGAATAATGGAGGGAGAGGTTACGGAATACACAAAGAGCCATTTAGGTATGTATTATTATTCTAAAGGGTAAAGAGATAATGGCAAAATATTATAATGATGATGATGGCTTAATGGCTTAGGCTTAAATGAGAAGCTCAAAAGGTCTGAAGAGCCAAATCTAACTGGAAATTGCTCATTTAAAAGTTGAAAATCGACTTCAAATCTTAAAATTTGACCTGTTTTGCCTGAAAACGCTTCAGAACTCGCTAGACGACGTTACATACATCACTAGGGAAGATTTTGAAGTCTACACGAATCGTCTAGGTGGTCCAGAACCCAGTTCAGAGCGTCAGTTACATTCAAAATGGCGCTTTCTAGAATCTCTAGGGTCCTTCCGATGACATAAGAAGTCAATTGAAAAGCTTTGAAAGGTTCTTGAAGAGATTCAGAAGCTTCAAAAATCTTGGCAACGTCTTCTGAAGGCTCTAAAATCGTCTGAACGGAAATCTAGATGGTTCAGAAGCTACTGGAAAGCATCGAAAGAGCCCAGAAGAATCTAGACGTCATCTGATAACTTCAGAAGCCTCTAGATGTGGTCTGAATCGTCCAGAAGTCTCTAGAAGTCAACTTAATCCTCCGGAACCCTCTAGACGTCTTCTGGATATTTCAGAAGCTGATCAACAAGATTCTAGACTTCAGATGCCGTGAAAAGAGGTACAGAATGAGTAAGCTAGCTTTTCCAAATCCTCAGAATCCGCTGGACGGTGTCAGATGACGTCAGAGGCAGTTTTTGGCCTAAAAATCGGTCGTTTTTCGTCTTCAAAAGCTCAAAATTTGACTATAACTCAAACACTTCTAAAGAATTCTATCAGCTCCAGAAGACGTTAGACGGGTAAAAGCCCCAGAATCCGTCTCTTACCATCATTTGATTGGACTGGAAAATGCTTCTAGGCGCATTCGAGTCCATTTCATAGATACACATGGATCCATCGTTCCTCCCAACTGCGAACCATGGATGCGACGGTGCCATCGCCAAACTCTCCACACAATTCGCCACGTCTTCTTCCATTTCTTCCTCTTCTTTAGCCGTTCCCGCAGCTGTGATCGTCGTTGATTTGACTCCGGGCGGTGGAAGAAGTGAGATCTTCTTGAGGACATTGTCCGGAGACGCCGTATTCACTACGTTCACAGTTCCTGATTGTGTTCCAATGATGGCTACCGTTTGGGAGACGTGATGATCGATTGCGGTGATTGGAGAGTGGAAATAGAGGTGGGTGCTGGTTTCTTCGCGGAGCAGCCACATGCCTGGAAGAGAGGAAGAGTTCTAGAATTTCAGATTTTTCGAATTCCTTGATTTTTCATAATTTCAGACCCCCAAAAATTGAAAATTCGATTCAAAAACTCAATTTTCTGCGGGTTTTTGAACCTGAATTCTTGAAAATTGCACGCCGCGAAAATCCTAAATTTGACGACAGAAACCCCCCGAAATTCCAGAAGTTTCTAGAGCATTTTTTCTCCAAATTTCATGGATTAACTCCTATAAATCCCTTTTTTTGGCTCCAAAAATCCCCCTCAATTCATCTGAAATCCTTTTAATCTCGGGAATTTGCGTCAATCAAGCAGGAAAGACTAGAAGTCCAGGATTAAAAGATTCAGAATCGACAATCCATGGGTTTTTCAAGAGATTAGACATTTTTTCTATCTCGAAAAAGTGTATTTTTATCTAAAAATCGTATAGAAAATCTCGAGAAAAAGCCAGAATTTTCGGGCTTAAAATCTTCAAAAAATTAGCATTTTTTTCAGCGATTTGCGGCCACGATTTTCTATATTAAAATCCTCGAAATTGAGAGCTTTTTTTCCAGCAAAAATGGCACATTTTCAGCGATTTTCAGCCAAAAACTCACGAACGATTCCATCGGAATAGCCACAAAGAATGCGTTTTCCGTCCGGCATGAGACATCCAACTGTGCAGGAGGCTCCATTTCCAGAGTAGACCTGCAAACATGAAAATTTGGATTTTCAGATTTTCAGAAATTTTTAGCTAAAAACCTCTATTTTCAGATATTTTTAGGCATTTTTCGGCCAATTTCGCACTAAATCTTTCGTTCTCATTCTGGACTGCTTTAAGCTGTTTTATACCAAATTACGGTCATTTTCAGCCAAATTAAGACTATTTTCAATCAATGCTAACTCTTTTCAGTGTACTTTCCGACGAGTTTTTTCAGACATTTTCAGCCGCTTTGTGTAGAACGTCTAGTCACTATTCAATCGTTTTCAGCCATTTTCAGCTCATTTTAGTTCATTAAATGCTCAATTTCAGTCATTTTCAGCCTATTTTCAGCTCAATTCCGATCATTTTCAGTCAATTTCAGCCAATTTTGGGCTGGCTGACTTTCAGCCCACTTCCAGTCGAATTCGTGTGTCACGCCTTCTGGATAGCCCAGGATTCAATATTCTCGGTTGGCGTGCCGTTGGCGCGTTTAGCAGATGCCATAGATCCTCCACCCCTTCTAAATGGTCCAGCTCGCAATCTTCTTGGCTGGCGTGTCGTTGGCGCGCTTTACAGCCATTTTAAGACCATTTTAAGACATCTTAGACAACCATAACTTCTATTTCCAGCTATTTAGAACCGATTTTCAGCCATTTTCAGCACTTTCCCGACTATTTTAGCTCATTTTTTCGCCAAATCTCACCCCTTTGGGAACGATTTTCGCCCATTTTTTGGCTTCTATTGCTCAGCAGCACCTCCCCCCAAAGCAGATGGTGCTTCTCATTTTTTATGAGGGCCCCCCACTCTAATGGGGGTCCTTTCTATATATATATAATTAGTATTCAATGAGGAGGTTGTGTCTCTCACAAAGGACTCTATTTATGAAGAAGAAGAAGAAATGAATGGGAATGAAGAGGAAGAGGAAGGAAGTGCGGCGGTTCGAGATGAATGAAGAGTGAATCGTCGTTTTCAGCCAATTTTAAGCTGTTCCGGATGACTTTCCAGCCAAACCTAACCAGTTTTGGGTCATTTTCAACCAAATCTAGATCGATTTCAGTTCATTTTAAGAGATTTGAAGCGATTTTGGGGCTTACTTTGAGCACTTTTCAGTTGCTTTGCCACTCAAAATGTGCCGATTTCAGTGAATTTTCAGCCATTTTCAGTGGTTTTCAGCGATTTTTCTGAATTTCGAGCTATTTGTCAGTTATTTTGACGCTCAAAATGAGCTATTTTCAGCCCTTTTCCGGATGATTTTAGAGCCAAAACTTGAGATTTCGAGCAATTTTGGATCGTTTCTCATCACAAATGGCTTGTTTTCGAGCAAATCTTGATCAAATCTAGATAGATTTCATTCAGTTTGTTCTAAGCCATTTTAAGTGGTTTTCAGCAATTTCTGAGCTATTCCAGATGACTTTTCAGCCAAAATTTACAAATTTTGGGCAATTTCCAAAATTCAGGACATTTTACTCAAAATCAGTCATTTATAAAATTTGAAAAGCAGCATTTTTGAGTAGCTTTATACCTCAATTTGAGCCATATTCGAGGATGATTTTCAGGCTCATTTTCAGTTCATTTTGAGCGATTTTGGCCTAATCTGTGGGTGATTTTTTCAGGCGTTTTGAGCCTTTTTTTGGTCACTTTCGCATGCAAAACAAGTCGTTCCTGAGCTATTTTCAGCGCTTTTTCCTCCCGTTTTCAGTGCGAATTTCAAAGTTCTAGTCCAGTTGCTTTGCCACTCAAACTGGTTCTTTTTGGACCAAATCTTGATCGATTTCAGTCAATTTTCAGTCATTTTTTCTCCGTTTTTAGCCATTTTTCAGTCACTTCAACGCTCAAAATGAGCTATTTTCAGCCCTTACACTCCCGTTTTCAGTGCGAATCTCAAAGTTCTAGTCCGTTGGTCCCTTCTCTCATCCCCCGCCGGAAGCCTTCTGCGCCCCCTCTCTCTTCGGTCATGCGTGTGGATTAGATCCCCCTTTCGTTCTCTATTCTTAGCACATTCCCTTCTCTCCCCTTTCTTCTCCCTCTTCTGCTTTTCAATTCAATTTGCGTCGACTTGTTTACGGCTTCTTCGCCTTCTCTTTTTGCTCTCTCACTCTCTCTCTCTCTCTGGATTTGAGCACACAGAGAGAGAGAGAGAGAGAGAGAGAGAGAGAGAGAGAAAATGGGCGGAGTCTAGAGCAGCTGAAATCATGTCTTGAAATTGAAAATTCCATAGCAACGCCACTGGCTGAGAGATAGGGAGGAGGAGAGAGTGTGCCGAGTGAAGAGACGCAGAGAAATGAATGGTGATAAACAAGCCAGCTCGCGTCAGGATGTCTGATATTTCAGAAATTTTTTAATATCAGAAAGAGAGAGAGAGAGAGAGAGAGAGAGACGCAGAGAAATTAGAGAATGTAGAGCTTTCAAAGATCTTCTTCAGGAGGTATCAAAATTGATGGAATTTGATAAGAAAAAAAAATGTGAATTTCGAATTTCAGCAAAATATTGATTTTTAGCGTTTTTCAGGTCAAAAATTGTCGATTTTCGGGACATTTTCAGGAATTTCCAGCTGATTTTCGCTGATTTCCAAATCGAACTCCGGTCAAAATCGGTGGAATTTGAGAAAAGTGAGTGCTGAATTTCAGTCAAATAGTAATTTTCAGCGATTTTCACACTAAAAATTGCCGATTTTAGGGTCATTTAGGTCCAGAAAACGCAATTTTCGGGCCCTTTTCAAGAGTTTCGAAATCGAATTTCACTGAAATTTGTATTCAATTCAGCAGTTTGTTAGCCAATTCCAGTCAGTTTCAGATCCAAAGACCAATTTTCAGCGTTTCTCAGGTCAAAAATTGCCCATTTCAGGTCAAAAACGCTGTTTTTTGGTGATTTTGGATTCGAAACATGCCCGAAATGCCGAATTCCCTTCATTTTCAGCCATTTTTTTTTCAGCCAATTCTTTGTTTTCTTTCATTTTCAGATTGAATCCCGTTTCCTTTCAAAATTCCCTGAGACTTTTCCAGACTGCAAATTCCAGAAAACCAATATTTTTGTAATTGTTTTCATCATTTTCAGGCTCCTTTGTTTGTCTTCCTCCCCCCGCCTAGTCTAGTCTAAAAATAAGGTTTTCAGGCCCCTATTTTCAGCCGTTATTTTCAGCCAAAAATATATCGGTGCTGCCGGCTGAAAGTGATTCGTGCAAATTTCCAGAGAGCCGTCGTTTCAGACAAAAAAAAACCAATAATTTCGGGGCTGAAATTCCAGCCATTTCAGTCGATCCTCAGCTTTTTCAGAGCATTTTCAGCCATTTTAGAGCCTGAAGATAGCGATTTCTGAGGTGAAAATCGAGATTTTTCAAGTACTTTCTCTGCATTTTCAGGCAATTTTCAGCCAATTTAATCAGCCGGAAAATAGGCGATTTCTGAAGGAAGGCAGATCTCAAATTTTTCAGTTTTTCAGAGTCGATATTTTCAGCATTTTCAGAGCATTTCCGGTTATTTCCTGGCAGATTTCCACAGCAATTTAGCCATTTTAGAGCCGAAATCATCCTGAAAATAGTGCTTTCTGATTGGCAAAAAAAAATCAAGATTTTTCAGCTTTTCTAGGCTATTCTCAGCAATTTCAGAGCATTTTGAACCTTTTTTTAGAGCCGATTTCCTGTGATTTCAGATCATTTTAAGCTATTCCAGTGCATCCGAATGATTCAAAATTTTCCGCCATTCAGAGCCGATTTTCAGCCATTTTGAACCATTTTTAGCAGTTTTTCAGGCTCAAAAAGTCATCATTTTGAGCAATTTTCAGCATTTTCTTTTCTCATCCATCAATCTCCTAGAGCTCCTTGTTGGGATACACAATGAGGTCTATTGTCCTTTCACTTCGATTCATCTTCATCTTCTCCTCTCTTTCTCTCTAATCGGACCCCTCCCCTCTTCTTCATAGGGACACCTGCCCAAAGCTCCGCCCCTTTCTTAGAAGAGGGGGTCAAGTCAGTCAGTTAGAGGAGCGTGTCGTCTGTGTTGTTATCATGATTCAACTGGAAATTGGAACTTTTTTCTCGTCCGAAACAAGAAACGTTTACAAGTTACGCAATTTGTTTCTGGTCGTCTGCGAGAAGAGAATGGTGATGATCACAAAGCGGAAAGAACACAACAACCAGAAAACTACTCTTTCTCTCTTTACCTCACACCGTTATCATCATCATCATAAGACCTCTGTTGTTTGAAGAAGAGAGAGTCACAGCCAACGAGGCGGCAGCACCAGGTCAATAAACAATACACATTGCGAAATTTGCTGCTTTTTTCTGGAATTTTCCCTTCCCGTGGGGTCTTGTGACGCTTTTCAGATCAAGGATCTTTGATTTCGTGGATTCTAGGCACCATGAGCAGCTGGAAATGGCTAGAAACCGCCAGAATTCGCAGTAGATGCTCCGGACATCAGAACTTGCCGACTTCAAGTTACAGATGTCGTTTAGAAGCTTCACAGCTAGATTTCCAGGTGAAAATAGCTAGAAACTCGCTAAAAGTCAAGAATCGTCGATTTCTAGGCTTCAGAGCTAGATTTCCAGGTGGAAATAGCTAGAATTTTCTCAAAGAGCGAGCTTCAACGTCCCTTCCGAGCCTCCAGAGCTGTTTTAGAGTCTTCAGAAGCCCATAGGGACGCGCTGACTTGTCCAGGACGAGCAATCTAGAGATGTGGCATGATCTACAGAATCTTTTCAGGACCACTGATTCATATGATCTTCTAGAACCGTTCCGAAAATTCCAGAAGCTTCTAAGACCATCTAGAATCATCTCAAAGAAGCATCCAGAATTATCAAGAAACATCTAGAAGCCTCTAGGAGCTCAAAAACGCATCGAAAGCGCCTTCTAGAACTATTCAGAACGATGTAGGCACATCCAGATCCTTCCAGATTCTGTCAGCATCATCTAGAAGCATCCAGACGCCTACAGATCCATCTGGAATCATCCAGATTCATCTAGAACTATCTAGAAACCTTCCAGACGCCTCCAGATCCTTCCAGAGCTTTCTAGAACCATCCACAATCCTCTAGAACCTCTCCTTCCTCCTCAATAGGCCTCAAATTCCGTGAAAAAAACCCAAAAATTCCTTTCGTCTTCCACTTGAATTCTCCTCATCATCGTCATCACCGTCGTCGCCCAATTTAGTAACCTTGGTGAGAGAATTTCAAGGTTTTCGTCTTCTAGATTCCTCGGAGAGATTTTTTGAAGAAGGCCTTGAAGGCGTCGACCCCCTTAGACAATTGCCACGTGTCAATGCCACCGTTCTTCAGAGAGAACAAAAAAAACCAGTCAACACTTGCTTTTTTGAAATAGAGAAAGTGCAAACCTATAAAATCTCCTCGCCGCCAGCGATTCCGATTCCCACACCATCAAAAAATGTTCTTTTTCTTCTTCTTCTTGTGTGTCTGTGTCCTTTTCTCTCTCTCTCTTTCTCTCTCTCTCTCTCTCTCCCAAAAGCAAATTTACTTTCATCGGGGACGAGGCCTGGGGGAGACGGACGACGGACGGGAAGGGACTAGGATTGGGAAGATGAGAGCGGCAGGTTGGGTGGTTTACTTTCAAGCTTACACACCTTTACCACAAATATTTTAGAGAGAGAGAGAGAGAGTTCTCTAAACACTACGACAGGTTGGTTTGGGGAAATGGATCCCGTTTTTTTTTGTTTGAAATTTGCGAAAAAACAGTAATCCACTACAGTAATCCTGGAGGAATTTAGACTACAGTAATCCAAGATTCCAAATCGTTGAAAAAATCGAGAGAAAGTCGAAAATTCTAATCCCCGGCCACAGTAATCCAGGAAGGAGTAAGGAGATCCCAAGTCTGTCGAAAACCGGGCTTTTCGGTTACGGTACTTCTCGGATAGGTAGGATTCAGTCGAATCTTCTGGGTAGCTCAGCACATCAGAACGGACGGTTGAGCAGTGTTTTTTGACAGCCTTCAAGTTCCAGACTACAGAAATCCAGCTTGGATCATCCAGGAGTCATTGAAATGGAGTTAAGGGGTCCTATTCGATTCAAAATCCACTATTTTGGATCCGAAAGAACCTTGCAGAATCTTACAGACCCTCCTAGAATCCTCCAGAAACCTTCTCAAAGGTTCTGAATCCTGCAGAATCTTCTATAGGCCTTCAGAGTCCTCCAGAACCCTCCAGAATCCGCCAAAAGCTCTGCAGAATCTTCCAGAACCTTCCAGAATCATCCAGAACCTTCCAGAATCCTCCAGAATCCTCCGGAATCTTCCAGAATCTTTCAGGCCCTCCTAGAATCCTCCAGAATCCTTCTCAAAGGTTCTGAATTTTGCAGAATCATCTATATGCCTTCAGAGTCCTCCAGGACCCTCCAGAATCCGCCAGAAGCTCTGCAGAATCTTCCAGAACCTTCCAGAATCATCCAGAACCTTCCAGAATCCTCCAGAATCCTCCGGAATCTTCCAGAATCTTTCAGACCCTCCTAGAATCCTCCAGAATCCACAACAAAAGCCCTGAGACTTCCCGGATTCAGAATCCCGGAGCCTTCCTCGGATGCATTTGACATCTCTCTTTGAACCTGACAGCTAAATGATGCCTCCCCGTGTCCGTCCATCCTGCTTGTCACGCTAATTACCCACAGAAGATCCTCATCCCTCGCCTAGAGGCCAGGCTTATCTCCCTCTCTCCCTTGTAACCGGTCATCATTTCGGAGCGTTTTCCTCTCTCTCTCCTCTCAACAGCAGGTGGCCTGGGCTGAGAGATAGTAGTACTAGTGGTAGTGGTAGTGGTCTTTTAAACAGAGAGACAAATCTCTTTTTACCACCAAATTTCCGATTCAAAGAGACACAAAAATTGACATTTCAGGCCACTTTTTTCGCTCCCCTGCCATCAGACACTTTTTTGTGTGTGTATTTCGGCACACCAACCAACACTTGTCAGCAAACTAATGTTTTATTCATAGCGGCGCGTGTGTGTGTATGGGGAGCACCATTTGAGTCTTCTTCATCGTCTTCATCGTCTTCGTCAAACTGCAAAAACGAAAATAGCAATTTTCGAAAAAAAGCTGAGCAATAGAGGAAAAAGTGAAGTTGAGCGAAGAAGAAGAAGACGTTATTAAAAAAAGAGCATTCAGGCGGAAATTGCGAAATATATTATTTTCTTCGGCGTTTGAGCCGCCGGAGATGAGCAATTTCGAGATGGCGGAGCCTTCTAGAACAGCCTGGGAAGCGCCATAGGCCTTTTTAATAGATCTGGATGACGTTCTGAATCAACTTAGAAGCTTTTAGAACCTTCAGAAAGCGTCTGGAACCTACTGGAACATACGGAAGTCATCTAGAATCTTCTGAAAACTTCTAGAAGGCTTTCATGGGTTCTCTTAGAACCTTCTAATAGCTTTGGAATCTTTCTGGGCGGCCTGGAGACGTAACTCTCTTTTGAGTGGTCTGAAACCTTCTAGAAGCAAGCCTCTCACAGCCCATGGAACCTTCTAGATGTGCCTAGAACCTGTTAGAAACTTCAGAAGACATCGGGAACATTCGGGACTTACAGAAGTTATCAAGAAGCTTCTGGAACCTTCCAAACCCATCTAGAACTATTACAAACCTTCTAGAACATTTTGGAAGCTTCTAGAAGTCTCTCACACCTACTAGAACCTCTGGAACATACTGGAAGCATCTAGACGCCTATGGAACCTTGCAAACCCACCTAAATCATCTAGAGCCTTATAGACCTCTCTGGAATCTTCTGGAACCATCTAGACGCCTAGGGAACCTTTTAGACCCTTCAGAAGACGTCTGGAGCTCCTGGAATCATCTAGAAGCTTATGGAACCTCCTGGAACCGTCTAGAACGCTATCACACCTCCTAGAACCCCCTAAAATCCTCTCGAACCTTCTGGAACCTTCCAGACCCACCTAAACCTATTTCGAATCTCTGGAACCTTCCAGTTCCCTCCAAATTCCCTCTCCAAGTTTTGAATCCAAAAACTGCCAAGGTCCCCCACTTCTTTCTCTTCCCTCCCTCGTCAGTCATACACACATACAATTCGGCCTGTCAATTCTCCCTCCCCGTCGTTCTCTGCGTCTCTTCCAAATTCACACTATTTCATCTTCATCTTCTTTCTGACGCCTCAGAGAACACGACAGCTGCGCGCGAACAAAGACGGCAGAGACGACGACGGTTGGGTGGAAATAACGTCAGTGGTGACCCGCAGAGACAAGTGACCACTCGGTGAGAGGGTAGGCGAATTGAAGAGAGTGGCCAGAGAGAACGAGAGGCGAAAAGGCTCTTAGAGCGAGAGAAATGGACCCAGAGAACACGAAAAATCGGTTAGAGAGTGTGTGGATGGTGGAGGGACGAGAGAAGCGTCGCGGACGCAAAAAAAGAGCGGTCGGCCGGAGAACCGAGAGACTTTTTACAAGAGGGGAGGGGGGATTTCTCTGCAGTGTTTTTATGACTTTTTTGTTTGAAAAGACCAAAAAATGGAATGGGAGAGTGATGGGGCGATTCGGGCTCCCGGACAGCATCCTGGGGGGTCTGGGAGCCTTTGCGAGGCCTAAAATTGGAACTTTTGGGGTTTTAGGGAGCTAAAATGGCCAAAACGGGTCCAGAATCACGAATTTCAGCGTTTCCAGAGGATTTCAAGACCCAAAATCTAGAAGTTAGGGGTTCCAGAGAGCTAAAATATCCTGTAAATGTGACTTTTAGGGTCCCGAATCTCGAATTTTGGGGTATCCAGGCCTGAATTAAGGTCCAAAATCCTGATTTTCAGCATTCCCAGGCTTCAAATTTGCTTCCAGCGCCGAATTTCAACACTTTTGGACTAAAAATTCAGATTCTAAAGGGTCCAGGCAGCTCAAATGACCTGAAAATGATATTTTTGGAGTTTAGAATCCGGAATTTAAGAACTTCCAGGCCTAAATTAGGGCGCCAGGAGGCGAAATTTAGGGATTTCAAGGCTCGAAATTCACATTGGCGTTTCACCGAGCTAAAATAGCCTGAAAATGACAAATTTCACGATTTTAAGGTCAGAAAATCCAAATTTCAGCATTTTAAGATTGAAATAATCACAACACAACCACTATACAACAAAAAATATGTCGTTTTTCTTCACAAAAACCGCATTTTTCGGGTGGAAATGACAAATTTTTGGGGGTTTCCAGGTCATTTCCACACCTCAAAAATCCAATTTTCGTGCTATGAAAACGCTTTTTGGCATGCAAATTTTGTCCATGTTTGAGTGATTTGGAGCCGAATTTCGGCCTATTTCCCACTGTCGGACCAAATTTTGATCTCAAAAGGACCCATTTCCCACTCGAAACCATTCATTTTGAATGCAATTCCATCCCCTAATCCCCTTCTCTAGACGGCGATGACGTGTCCTATATGACCAGATGTTCTCTAGGGGTCACCAGCAGAGAGAGAGAAGGAGAGAATGAGCAATAAGGGCAGCAGGAGAGGCAGATGTTTGGGGGGACGGCTGAGGGACCGTCTGTTTGTACGCGTTTTATTACTTTTTTTCAATTTTTTGGTGTGAAAATCGCTATTTTAAGCTTAAGAGCTGATTTTAGGCTTGGTTAAGGCCATTTTTAAGCTATATTGGCTCATTTTTAGGCCGTTTCAAGTCATTTTCAGTGCATTTTCGACCACTTTAGACTCATTTTAAGCTATTTCAAGGTCTATTTAGGCCATTGTAGATCTTTTTCAGACGATTCCAGCCAAAAATCCCTCATTTTTGACCCTTTTTTGATGCCGCACTCCTCTTTTTTGCATTGTTTATACAGTGTAATAAATAAATCACATGTGCTGTGCTGACCTTTTTTGGCCTTTTTGCGAGGTAAATATAACAGGTCGCTTTCTGCTTGTTTATACCTTCAAAGACGGCCAATTTTTATGATTTTTAGAGGTTTAAGCCAATTCGAGCTCAAAAGTCCAAATTTTCAGTCATTTTTCATGAATTTTAGGCATTTTTAAGCCCAAAAATCGCATTTTCTCACCTTGGACTGCGCGATTCCTTTATTTCCAATCAGCCACATCCATAGGATTCCGTCTTTGTCGCCGGCGAATAGAATGTCGGCCGTTTGGTGCCAACGCATCCATTCCAGGTCGTTGCACTCGTCAATCTGCAATTTTTTTAGCTAGAAAATCTGATTTTAGAGCGTTTTGAGGCGTAATTTTGAATTTCTGTGCATTTTGTCGTAGGATTTGATGTCTGTTTCAGCTGAAACGTCAAATTTGACGACAAAACGCACAAAATTCAAATTTTCGCCCGAAAAAACGGAAATTTCGAATTTCTGTGCATTTTGTCGTAGGATTTGATGTCTGTTTCCGCTGAAACATCACATTTGACGATAAAATGCACAGAAGTTCGAATTTTCGACTGAAAAACCGGAAGTTTTGAATCCCTGTGCATTTTGTCGTCAATTTCGCTGTCTTAACGACATGAACACCGAATTTGACGACAAATTGCACGAAATTCAAATTTTCGACTGAAAAACCGGAAATTTCGAATTTCTGTGTAATTTGTCGTCTATTTCGATGTCTGTTTCAGCGGAAGCATCAAATTTGACGACAAAATGCACAGAAATTTGAACTTTCGTGCATTTAGTTGTTGGATTTCATGTTTCACAAGCTTAAAACATCGAATTTGACGACAAAACGCACAAAAATAGAATTACGACTGAAAAAATGCGGGAAATTCGAATTTCCAGTCAGATTTTAGCATTTTTCTGTGCTAGAACGACCGATTTTCAGTCATTCCCCCAATTTTTTAGCCAGATTTTTCTAGGTCAAAAATTATAGTTTCTGGCTTATTTTGGAGCAAAAAATCTCGATTTTTAGCTCATTTTCCATCTTTCATCTCGTTGCTTTTCGTTTTTTAACGCCGCACGGTAGAAAGCCACGAACCTCAGCGCGAATCTTCTTCGTCGCCACCTCTGAAATCATAATTTTCCCACTCAAATCGCCGGTAGCCAACAGTGTCTCGTTGGAATTGAACATGACTTGAGTCACCGAATCCTTGTGCTCGATTTTCAAAATTGGCTCATTTTCCGAGACATTCTGGTCGAAAAGATAGGCAACGTCGTCCTCGCCGCCAGTGGCTAGCCAGCGATTTGAAGCTAAGGCTACAGTAAAACAGTCTTGAGCGTGAGCCTGGAGAGACATCAGAGAGTCATCGATGATCTCGGCTGGAACGTCGGCGCTGCAAAAATTGGGGTATTTTGAGCCAAAATTGACCATTTTTAAGTCAAAATTCATCATTTTTAAGTCAAAATTAATTATCTTTGAGGCAAAATTGACTATTTTTGGGTTAAAATTCGTTCTTGTTAAGCCAAAATTCGTCATTTTAAAGTAAAAATGACATTTTTAGCTCAAAATGCCTCATTTTTAAGCCAAAATTGACAATTTTCAAGCCAAGATTAATCATTTTTAAGCCAAAAATTGACCATTTTTAGGTTAAAATTCATTATTTTCGACCTAATATTGATCATTTTTGAGTTAAAATTGAACATTTTCGAGCTAAAATTAATTCTTTTCGACCCAATATTGATCATTTTTGAGTTAAAATTGATAATTTTTAAGTCAAAATTAACTATTTTTGAGTCAAAATTGACAATTTTCAAGCCAAAATTGACTATTTTTAAGTCGTCAACATTTGCGATTTTTAGCCTAGAAATCAACAAAAAACTCACTTTGAAGTGCTCTGCTGATCCTCATCATCATCACTAGCGTACTTCATCTCGGCATCGTCGTCTTCGATGATCTGAAATCAGAATTTTCAGCATTTTTCCGCAAATTTTCGTTCAAAACCTCCTCTATCTCATTCTCCTCGATGCGATGATGATTGTCGTCGTCCATTTTGAGGTCTAAAAATTGAAAAAATGCAGAATTTAAAAGGATAAAAAGATTTTTTAGAGAAAAAAAGGTAAAATTTCGAAATATTCCTATTTTTAGCATCAAAAATTTAGTATATGATGACTCATAGCTAGGAGATTCACATGATAAATGGAAAAAAACACATTTCGTCATAAATCATAAGGAATCATAAATCTCGGGGGTTTATTGCTTTCTGGACAAAGAAAACTTTTTTTACCGATTTTCGGGATTTTTACGACATTTTTGGGATTTTTAACCTAGAAATTTGGTTTTGAAAATTCAAAAATGGGAGTTGGGAGCTGAAATTTTGCTAAAAATTGGTGAAAATCTTGAAAACCAATTTTTTTGGGTTTTTCGCAATTTTTAAGCTAGAAATTTGACTGCTTTTGAACGAAAAAAAGAGCTTAGGACAAAAAATCGCTGAAAACTTGAAAAAAATGGTTTTTAGGTCAAAATTTCGAGAATTTTCCGGAAATTTCGCCAGAAATCAGTGATATATAGGAACTAGAGAGGTTAAAAAACAAATTTAAGCAAAAAAATCCGTATTTTCCGAAAAAGTGATCAATTTTAGAATGACTTCCAAAATAGCCCAAAATTTTCAAAATTTTGCGAATATTTTGTATGAAAGCAGTCAAATATAGGTTTTAGAAGGTCTTAGAAACAAATTTAAGCAAAAAATTCAAAAAGTTTTGTTACAAATTGGTCAATTTTGGGTCAAAAACCCCTCGATTCTATCCATCCCTTCGAAAAATCACAAGGACACGCGACGCACCAGCCGCGCCGCACTCAAAGGCACTCGCGAGCCCGATGCGGCGCGGCGGCGTCGCGTGTCTATTTGTGTTTGCTGCGACGTGGCCGGCTGGTGGGTGAGTGTTTTCGAAGGGCGGCGAAATAGCATGCACTAGGTGAGAGACGCAGAGCGGGACCCCGACGAGATAGCGTGCGCCGGCGTGGAGAGCGGCGAGAGGGGCTAGAGAATTGCGTTGAGGCGAGAGAGTGTGGTGAATCGAGAGACGCGCGCCACAAGTCGATATCTGGCAAGAGAAGGAGAGAGAAAACGAGGGGTCTCTGTCCCCTCCTATTCCCCTTGCTTGCTTCTTCTACACAACCAACGACCCTTTTCTCTATACTGAGAGAGGGGGGTTTGTACTGCACACATAGACACACACACACAAAACTACCCCCAGCGCCCTGCAATACCCCTTCCAAAGGTACTGCATTTCCCCAATTTTTGACCATTTTCCATGAGCGCCGTTCTCGGCGGATGAATTCATCGCTCAGTCCGTGGCATTTTGTACCGTGCGGCGTCTTCGCCGCTCTTCTTAAACGTAGTTACAACGTGGGAGTACAGGAAGATGGCCACTGCGTCGAAGGCGTTTCGAGCCCGGGCGTTCGACTCGAACCGGTCCATGACTGTCTACTGGGGCCACGAACTACCGGACCTATCAGAATGCAGCGTTGGGAACCGGGCCGTCACTCAGATGCCGTCGGGCATGGAAAAAGAGGAAGAAATGGTGAGTTTTGAGCTATTTTCTCCATTTTTCTTGCTTATTTTCAGTTTTTTATCCGTTTTCTTGTCTCTATTGTATTCTCCTCGTTCCCAGCTCTCGATTTAGCTATCTCGCACCGTTCTAGACCCATTTTGTAGCCCTCGGCTCAAAAGTGACGTCATCATAGTGATCACTGGCCAGCGGGACCGGTTTTTCTCTCGTTATTGCAATACAAATGGGGGTTTTCCACTAATTTTTCATGTTTTTCGTCTGAAAATTATCTGAAAAGCCTGATTTTTAGTCTTTTCGCGCTCCGACGGGGCTCTCCGGAGCAAGAGTGTAATCTGAACACGTATCGATTACCTTCTGAGCTCCGCGGAGCAATTTGACCCTCTAGCGGAGTCAAAGAAGCGAGAATCCTCTGAAATTAGAGCTCTTAGCCGGAGCTTTGGCTCATTAGAAAGGACAAGATAACGCCAAAAATCGGGTCAAATTTCATTTTCTATCTGAAATTTCTGGCTCAAAATTTCATAAAATTTCGAAATTTTAAGCCTATTTCGGCTCAAAATGATCATTTTTAGGTCATTTTGAGTAGATTTTTCTAATTTCAATCTATTTTTCGGCTCTAAATCGTCCTTTTCGCTCATTTTTAGCGCTTTTTTTCCTCCAAAAATATCTAAAATTCTTGATTTTTTAAAGGCAATTTATGCTCAAACTTTCACTTTTCCAATCTGAAAATTTCGAATTTCCAGGTATTTTCGGTCATTTTCGCCTATTTTTAGTCGAATTTTCGCCCTTTTGAACCCAGAAAACCCATTTTCCCATCTACTCAATGACGTCATGACCTCTTCTTCTATATATTTGCATAGGGACCCCTTTTAAACCCCCCGAGGCGATAAATTTGCACATTTTCCGATAGAATAGGTTGATTTTCGACCGACTTTTTGGATTTTTAGGGTCCAAATGCTCAAAATTAGGTATTTTCAGGTCCAAATTTCTCGATTTTTCATCTAAAAACCCGATTTTCAGTTTCAAATTATCATTTTAAGCACCCAAAAAGCAATTTTTCATGGTTTTTGCAAGTCTAAATGCTCAAACTTGGTCACTTTTTGCCTCTTTTCAGGGTGAAATTAGCATTTTAGGCACCCAAATAACCCATTTTTCCTATAAAAAATGTCATTTTTGATGATTTCTAGGGTTCAAACACCCAAAATTTGACATTTTCAGCACCGAAAACCCCAATTTTATTGATTTTTGGGCTCAAAATCTTCAAAATTGACCATTTCAAACCCATATTTTTCCAGGAATCGCATCTGCAAGACGCGATTTTGGCGCAACAAGCGAGCACATCGGGTGTGCAGGTGAACCATGTAATTCCGACGCCAAAAGTGGATCGTGTTGGCGATGATCGTTATCACTCGACATATCACAATCGTAATCAGAAGCGACGGGACAAGTATATCAAAGTTCATGGTAAGAGGCAGCTTTCTATCTTCTTTGTGCTCATTTATCATCTTTTTCCTCTTTGTATCTATCCCTTTGGGACCCCTCTAGACCAATTTTTGATCTCCAAATCCCAAATTTTGGTCATTTTCTGCTCTAAAATCTCGCTTTTTCACATATTCTGAGGCTATTTTTAAGCTCTTAAGTCATTTTTTGGCCTCTAAGTTCTCTATTTTTGATCCCAAAATCTCGAATTGTTCTCTTTTCTATCCATTTGGGACCCCTTTAAGCCAATTTTTGAGCTCCAAATCCCAAATTTTGGTCATTTTCTACTCTAAAAACTATTTTTGAGCTCTAAATCTGCTATTTTTGCTCTAAAAACCTTGGTTCTTCATATTCTGGGGGAAATTTTTACCTCTAAATTCTCTATTTTTGGTCTAAAAACCTTTTTTCTATCCCGTTGTGACCTTTTTGACCCAATTTTTGAGCTCTAAATCCCAATTTTTGGTCATTTTTTGGTCTAAATCTGTTATTTTAGCCCTAAAAACCTCGGTTTTTCATTGTCTGGGGCTATTTTTAGCTCTAAATGCTGTAATTTTGACTCTAAACTCTCTATTTTTCCTCTGAAAATCCGCATTTCTTCAGTTTTTTTCACTCCTAATTCCCAATTTCCCTCCCTTTTGACACCTTTTATTACTCATAATTTTAGGATGATGATGATGATCATACCACTCGACACCACTCTTTATTCGGTCCGATTTTTCGATTTCCTGCCTGAAAATTGGCCCTAATTTCCTGTTTTTCATAGAAAGAGAGGAGGCGAAAAACACATAAATTTCCGAAATTGGGTTATTTTTAGCCGGAAAATGACGATTTTTTGACCTTGAAAGCTGAATCTTTAGCTTCAAAATGACGATTTTGACCTCAAAAATCTGAAAATTAGGCTCAGAAAACCAGGTTTTCGAGGTTTCCAGCCTCAATTCGGATAGTAATTTTTGGCTGAAAATCTTGAATTTTAGCTCTAAAAAACGTAGTTTTCGTTTCAATTTTGTGTTTGTTTTTAGCTGTCGAAATGACGATTCTTAAGCTGAAAAATCTCTCAAACTTTGACTTGAAATTCATAATTTTTATCTGAAAGTCTTGAATTTTGGCTTTAAAACGTGATTTTTGAGTTTTTCTGCCATTTTTCGCGCCTAAAACCGTTATTTTTGAGCTGAGAAAAAGCTAAATTTGAGGCTCCCAAACACGAGTTTTTGGCTGAAACTCCCCAATTTTTAAATCTTAAAATGACGAATTTTTGCTTTTTGGACCTCTAAAACTTGCAAATCAATGATTTTTAAGACTTTCCGACCCGAAAATCTTCATTTTCGACCACTTTTTCGCCATTTTTCCACCCCAAAAAGTACATATTTTGTGTTGTTTAGACTTCTTCTTCTTCTTCCTTCTCCCTCCTTTTTCTCCTTATCAGTTATCACACTCTTATCAAAGCGTGTGTCGCATTAGAGAGAGAGAGAGACTGATCATCATCTAAATTTGTTTGTTTGGCAACCCCACCCCGTTTGGGCGTTTTTGAGCCCAAAAACTCAATTTTGAGCATTTCAAAAATTGAAAATAGGCTCAAAATAGCTGAAAAATCGATTTTTAGACCTAACCTTGCACCTAGAGGCTTCAAAATCGCTCATTTTAAGCCTGGAAAGATGGATTTTTCAGCCAGACATCGCTCTAATTTTGCATTTTGGTCTCGCGAAATTCCATTCAAAGTAGCCTAGAACAGTCGAAAAACTTGATTCTGTGATCTAATTCTGCCTTTTGGGCCTTCCTATTGGCTCATTTTAACCTAGAAAAATGGGATTTTTGACCTGAAAATGGGTTTGAAATCAAATTAGTCTGATTTAAATGGATTTTTGACCGAAATTTGATATTCAACTGGCTATAATTGGCGTTGGATAGGCTCAGAAATCTAAAATTTCAGGAATTTTTGGCTTAGAAACTCGATTTTTGACATATGTAAGCCTAAAAACCCTCCCTAAAACTCGATTTTTGCAGCATGGCAAGCACTGGAACGCGACGAGCCCGAGTATGACTACGACACAGAAGACGAGGAATGGCTTCGAGACCATCAGCACATTGAGCCACGAATTCTGGAGAAGGTGTTCGACACCGTCGAGAATCACTCATCGGAAACTGTAGTAGCCAGCGAGGAGTCGGTCATTAATTTTCATAAAAGTAACCCCTTTTTTTCCTCAATTTTGCCTGAAAATTGTGGAATTCTTTCAGCACTGGACTCATCGATTGTGTACGAAGTGTACGAGTACTGGGTGAACAAACGACTGACAGCCGCCTCGACATCAGGATGCGTTGGCGTTGGAGGACTGATTCCACGCGTGCGTACCGAGTGTCGAAAGGACGGACAGGGCGCTGTGAATCCGTACGTGGCGTTCCGAAGACGTGCCGAGAAGATGCAGACGAGAAAAAATCGGAAGAACGATGAGGACAGCTATGAGAAGATTCTGAAGCTGATGCACGACATGTCGAAGGCACAACAGCTATTCGATATGACTGCACGGCGAGAGAAACAGAAGCTGGCACTGCTGGACGTGGAATCAGAGCTATTGACGAAGAGAATGGAGCTGTCGGATTTCGGAGCAACCAGTGTGTTTGGAGAGATTACGGAGAAATTGAGAGCAACGTCAGAGACTTCAAAACCAGAGCAAAATGGACCGGAAGAAGTGCCGAAGAAGAAGAAGAGAATCCGGAAGAAGGTTGGAGACAAGGATCTACTCTCGAAGGCGTGGCTTCGGAAGAATGCCGAATGCTGGAATCGTCCACCCTCGCTCTTTGGACACAACGGCGCCGTACCAACAGTCACAACGAAGCCAGCACGTGAGGGAGCTCCAGATGGCAAATTTGCGTTCAGAAGACGTCGGAATTGTGGCTATCGTGCTCCTATCATTTTCACGCCTACAGTAATCCAAGCCGTGCCAGCTACACCATCGGCATCCTCTGCTACTGCTGCTACGAAACCAGCGGAGGTGACTCCACCGCAATCGTCGAGATTCTACGAGACATTCCTTCCGGTTGCCAACGGAGCCATGCGATCCATCGGACTCGTTCGCAGACGATGCGGACGTGGTGGACGGGTGTTGTTCGATCGGATGCCGCGGAATGCGGACGAGGAGAGACTGTCGACGGATCCATGGGCAGAGTATTGCGTGGCTGATAACTCGAGGTGAGTTTTGGATCATTATTCTAGGAGAAAATGCTTCAAGGATCCTAATTCGAGCTCAAAAACGACAAAAATCCCAGAAGTTATGATTTTTGAGGTTGGAAAAGGTTAAAAATTACCTATTTTCGGAATTAAAATGGCTGAAAAATTCCATTTTTGAATGCAAAAATTGATGGTTTTGAGCCAATTTTCACTGAATTGGCTTAAAAGGGCACGACTCAAAAACGGCCAAAACAGCTCATTTTTGGTCATAGAACATCCTTTTTGAGGCTTGAAAAGCTAAAATGTCCAAAACCCTATTTTTAAGCCTAAAAATTATCATTTTCCAGAACATTCCGTGCCCGCCAAACATCACTTGGAACCGAAGAAGAATCCGACGATCAATCACCCCGATCGCTCTACTTTGCCCGCAGTGATCGCTGCCGATTCAACGATGACGAACGGGAGCGAGAATGGGCGTCGAGATATGAGCCAACTGATTGGAAAGATATCGCTGAGGACGAGCCATCGCCGCCGAATGTCAAAAGTGAGTGACAGTAATCGATTTGGCTCGTCGAGAGCTTTTTCGAATGAGCATACTCTTGGGCCAAGAGTCTTGGCTATCATTGGGATTACTGTAGTTTTCGTATAGGACAAGAGTATACTCGTTTTGAAGCTCTCAATTAGCTGAATTCTAGGATTTCAAAAGTGAGAAAACCAACTGAAGGCGTTATTTCAGAATTTAACGGCACCATCGCCTCAACGTCGTCTCATTCGGAACCGGTGAAACTGGAGGAGAAGGGGGACAACGATGATAACAGTGAGGTGGAACGAATGGATGTGGACGGACAGGAGGACGAGGCACAAATTACGGTAACGTCGACGAAAGATGAAGACGTTCCAGAGGAAGAGGAAGAGGATGGGGATGATCGGAAGAATGAGGACGATATGGATGTGGATCAGGAGAAGAAAGTGAAGAAACCAGAGCAAAGTAATACGATTCAAGTGGAGAAATTTCGGCACATTATGACGCTGAAACCGCTTCAAGAGCACTCGCCACCGTTGCACTCGCATTCGGGAAACGGAAGAGCGGGCAGAGAGGAGCCGACGCCGCTGCCTGCCAAGGTGAGCAATTTTTGAGCTTAAAAAGAGGCAAAAATCGCTAGGCTCAACACGAGCTAAAAAGAGCCCGATTTTGAGCTCAGAAACAGCTGAAAATAGCCCAATTAGACCCAATTCCATATATTCTCATATATTGGCTGATTTGGAGCTCTAATACGGCTCTGAGAGCTAATGTCGAGCTAAAAAGAGCCAATTTGGACCCCCCCCCCTCAAAACAGCTCGAAAACATCCCCAGCTGTACAAACTACAGTAACCCGGCTCAAAAGAGCTTTCCTGAGCTCTTTGAATGTTCGTTTGGAGCCACTAAAAAGTAATATTTTGAGCTCAATTTGACCCTTAAATGAGGTGTTTTTCGAGCTAAAAAGAGCCAATGCGGACCCCATAAATGGCCGGAAAGAACCCAAATGGTCATTTAGGGCTCAAGAACATCTCATTTACAGTTTAACAGGGGCTTTTGGATCTTGTCTTGAGATCAAAACGACCCTAATATTACCCCTAAACCGAACTACAGTAACCCACGTACCCCCGATGATGAAGATTTTCAGATGAGCGCAACGGTGTCGGAGACTGAAGATTGGAGAGAGCCGAGTGGATCACCATCCGAATCCAACTCGTCCACTGAATGGGGAATGATGCCCTACATTGGCCAACAAGAGCATCAGACAGCCGCCGCCGTCGTCATTGCTTATCAGCAGAAGAAGAAGTTGATGAATGTGGTGGTGGAGGAGGACGAAAGCGTTGACGATGAAGATCAACATCATCAAGAGACGAAAGATAGAGACCATGCCATCAAAGAGTTCGTTAGTTTTTTGTTATTTTTGGTAGCAAAATGGGGAAATTAGGATTTGGATTACGGTATAAACTCAGCACAGAATCCTAAAAAGACGTTAAAAAGCTGAAAATTCGGCTCTATATGTTGGATTTTATTAATATCGTCAGTCTGGGATTACTGTAGTTTTATAAGGTTTTTTGGTTTTGTAGAAAAATGAGAAATTTAGGCATCTCGGATTACTGTAGAATTGCGACTGGAAGTTGGCATAAAGCTTGTATTTTTACACCTAACCTCTAATAGAAGGGCCCTCCCTCCGAGAGCCACTTGAATTCGATGCGTTTCTAGCTAGCTTTAGAATCCTTTTCTAGCTCTGAAACTTGAATTTTTCATCCCGAAAAGTGACCCAAAATATCGCGAAACCCCATTAAAAACTCCCCAATTTGCAGGTCGATGTCAACGGTAACAATGCTGGAAAACCGCGCGGCGAAAACGTACATGATGCCGTCGATGTAGTCTGAATCTCTCTCTCTCTCTCTCTCTCTCTCCATTTTTTCTCTTCAATTTTACTCATTTTCTGTCCCTCTCTCCGCTCATTCTCATCCATTTTCTCTCCAATTTTGTAATATTCTCTTTAGAATCTTCATGTATTTATCCCCAAATTCTCTCTCTCTCTCTCTCTGTCCGCCCCTCAAAAAATCAATAATATGTGTCTTCTCACCTCGGTATACCCCCAAAAAAGCTAATTGCACCACCATCTTTGTACTATCGCAAAATCTCTAGAAAATTCTAGAAACCCCCCCCCCCCCCCCCCGAAAAAAGAAGTTTTCTCTTTCCCTGTTTCTTTTTTCATATTGGATGATATCCGGATTTTTTTTATCATTCTCTCTTTCTCTCAGTCTCTCTCTTTTCCCTCTCTCTCTCTCGCTCTAATGATCTTAGAAAAATCAATTATTTTATTTCCCCTCCCAAACCAACCACACACAAAAATTAACAATTACGAGGTCGTCCCGTCCCCCCCCCGGCTCTTCTTTTTCCCCCTTTTTTTCTATCCCTATTTCTCTAGTAGTTCTTTAACTCGCTCTAGGCCTTTTCAGGCCCCCTTGGAACACACAAACGACCTCTTCTAAACGCGGTAACCCATCTCTCCTTTTTCCTATTAAAATTTGTTTTCTGTTTGTTCCCATCTCAATTACACTATTATTATTATTATTATTATACCTGTGATTTTGGGAATCATCAATTTCTTCTCTCCTTAAGCTCCGCCCCTTTTTTCCACACCACACACCCAACCCTATCAATTTTCTCAGAGACTCAAAATTCTTTTCAATTTTTGTGTGAATTCGATGAATTCTCCTCAAACCCCAAGTGTTCCGCAACAATCAATAATACAAAAAAATTGAAGTTTTTCATGGTTTTTGGGTTAAAATAGGCTGAAAATGGGCTTGAAATTAGCTAAAAATGCCCCAAAAATTTTTGGATTTTTGTGAATTTTCAAATTTTGGGATTACTGTAGTTTTTGAACTTTTTAATTTTTCGAGAAATTTCAGAAGTTTTAAATTTGAACCCAAAAACGAAAAATTTTGAAAAATTGCGATTTTTGGAATTTTCAAAAAAAAAAAATCAAAAATTTTGGAAAACTGAAAAATTGAATTTTTTGAAATTTCAGATTTTTTGAATCTGAAATTTTTGAATTTTTGGTTTTTTTTTTAATTTCAGAAAAAACGAAAATTTTTCAAAAAAATGGAATTTATTAAATTATTAGGAAACAAAGCAAAAATTTTGAAAAAAAAAAAAGTAGTTATGGCACATTATAGATGAGCAATTAGGAGGACAATTTAGGGCAATTAAAATTTGAAAAATGGCTGGAAATGAGTCAATCAGACTAAAAAAAGTCGGAAAATAGGCTGAAAACGTCTACCTGAGCTTAATTACGGAGCCAATTAGGGGCAATTAGAGGTGAAAATGGCTTCAAGATGACCACAAATTGGCTAGAAATGACACAAGAATGATTGGAAATGGGCTGAAAATGGCTTAAAATGACATTGGGATTACTGTAACTATGACAATTAGAGGGCAATTAGGGGCAATTAGAGGGGAAAATTGGCTGAAAATGGCTGAAAATGGGCTTGAAATTCGCTAAAAACGGCCCTAATTTTTTGGGATTTTCGTGAGTTTTCAAAATTTGGGATTACTGTAGTTTTTGTAGTTTCGAACCCAAAAACGAAAATTTTTGGAAAATTGCGATTTTTGAATTTTCAGAAAAAAACCAAAAGTTTTGGAAAATTGAAAAATTGGATTTATTTGAATTTTCAGATTTTTTGAATCTGAAATTTTTGAATTTTTGGTTTTTTTTTTAATTTCAGAAAAAACGAAAATTTTTCAAAAAAAAACAAAAACAAATGACATTGGGATTACTGTAGTTATGACACATGATAGATGAGCAATTAGGAGGGCAATTAGGGGCAATTAGACGAGGAAAATGACTTGAAATTTGTCAAAAATGACTGAAAATGGCTGAAAATCTACCAAAACAACTTTCTGGCACATTTCTTCTTCGTCTTCTCGGCTTTTCCAATATTTCCCATCATTGTGGGCGGAGCCAACATCCAAGGCAGATGGTCCAGAGACTCCGCCCCTTTCTCGCCTCTCTCTACAGTACTCCGAACCTCATCGTCAGCAATGACGCTCCAATCGGAATCTCCTGACTCTTCGGAATCCTCAAAATCCTCCGATTGCTCAGCCTTAAATTTCTTCTGTGGCGTCTGGAAATCCTCGTGCTCCATGTCCCTCTTTGGCTCTGGCGTTCCCGTTTGCCTCTCTCTAAATCTCTCAATTGCCAATTGCACATCCTTGAATGCTTCATGACTCTTCACACGGGCTGACAGGTTACTGTAGTCGCATTCCGTCATGTAGGCCTCCAATTGTTGGTAGCGTTTTGAGCAGGGTGTGAGCATGATGGAGGTGATAAAGTCGTCGGGGGGATTTTGGGCGTTCTGGAAAATGTTCGTGAGCTAAAGTTGTTATATTTGAATTCAGCAGATCGAGAGCTTCCAAATGAGCTTACTCTTGGCCTTCTAGGACTACTGTAACTCGAGATACGGTCGATTTGATTTTTGGGGCCAAACTACAGTACCCCAAAAAATTTTGCGAATCTAGCTATGATTATACTCATTTTGAAGCTCTTAACAAACCTAGTCTAATGGTAGTAAATTCAAGTGTTTACAGTTTCTGTATCTAGAGATACAGTGATGACTTTAATGTTTGGGATGAAACTACAGTAATCCCGAAAAATTTTCACATTTTTATCTAGTCATGATTATACTCATTTGAAAGCCCTTGTTATGCTAAATTGATTGGTGTAATTTATTTTCCTAGGATTACTGTAACTCGAGATACGGTAGGTTTAGTAGCGTAAGCTGACTACAGTAATCCAAAAAATTTCTCAAATCTGGTCATGATCATACTCATTTTGAAGCTCTTGACAAGTCTAGTCTAATGGTAATAAATTCGTTTTTCAAAGATTACTGTATTTTGAGTTACGGTAGTTTTAGTGGAGCATCCCTTAAAAACTCTAATTGAAGAACCCCTAACTTTGAGTCAATTTATCTTAGTTCCTGTAAACGATATCAAAAAATGGTCAACTAATAGAATGATTATCATAATATCAGTAACATTTTGTTAGTCAACAACTTTTTGATATCTGCTACAGTAACTGAGATAAATGACCTTAAAGTTAAGGCCGGCAACCGACTGCTTAGCTCAGCCGGATTCTTAACTTTGAAACAATTTATCTCGATTCCTGTAGCAGATATCAAAAAGTTGTCAACTAATAGAATGATTATCATAATATCATAAATATTTTATCAGTTTATCGCTTTTTGATATCTGTTACAGTAACCTGGACAAAAAGGCTCAAAGCAAGGGGTCCATTTGTTGGAGCGTTCAACATAGTTTAAGGTGGTTTTGCATTGCATTTTTGCAAAAGTTTAGCTATTTTAAATTGAAAACTAACCATTTGCTGTTCTTCATGTCGCTCCTCAACAATCTGAATGTGTCTCAAGACGAGTCCTCTTCTATCTCCTCTGAAGTACCGTAATACCACTTTCTTGAGTTGCCATTTTTGAATGAAATCGTATGGGAGCTCATCCATCTTATCCAATTCCGTGTATAAGGCATTGCTCATGTGTTTCAGAGAGTACATTCTCATTGTCAGATGATTCTCGAGGAGGTAGAGGAGACGAGCAGATGGTTGGTTGCAGCTCATTTTTGGAATTTGGAATTCTGGAAAGAAAGAGGATTTTAAGGGAAGTACAGTAACCCATTGAGTCATTAGGTGACTCATAAAATAACACTGAAGTACAGTAATCTCGAAAAAGCGATTTTGGGAGATAGTTTCAAAGTACAGTAATCTTCAAAAAAGAAAAAGAAAAGAAGAATTTTAAGAGGCATTTGAACTAGATTCAGGCTAGATTAAAAATTACAGATAGATTTCCAAACGTACGGTAACAACAGTAATTCATTAAGTACAGTAATTCATTAAGGAAATACAGTAAGCTTTTCAAAAAAAACCGAAAAAAGAACAATATTGATTTTTGTTGGAATCAAGCAAGAAGGAAGGATACATAAGAATGGACCCATTTACTATCTAAACCATAAATGACAAATGCACACCTGGAAAAAGAAAATGTCTTCTGGGAAGAATAAGCAATTCATCATGAATAGTTAGGTCTTAATTAGACCATAAAATTGACATGGCCTGTGGGAAAATGGGACACACTCAAATGCTGGAAAAGAAGAATCGATGAATGACTGTGAGCAAAAACTGGTGGGCTCATAACTTCCTCCAATCTTCTTACTTTCGTGGTCCATTACACCCGGTTCTAGAATACCTAGCTGGCCATTTTACACCCGGACATTTCAGAACCGGACAGTTTTTGGAGGGAGTTCAATTTCTTTTGAGTTTTGAAGTATCGTATTGTTTTGAAAGTTCTTGCGAATCCAAGTCGAATCGTGTTTATATCAGGTTTGTTGGACTACTGTAACTGGGGACAGGTCGAGAGCTTCAAAATGAGCCTACTCTTGCCCTTCTAGGATTACTGTAGCCCGAGTTGCCGTGGATTTTATTTTTTGGGTCAAGCTACAGTAATCCAGAAAGTTTTAGAATCCTAGTCATGATTATACTCGTTTGAAAGCTAGTCAAAAGTCAAGCCAAATGGTACCAATTTCAAACTTCTAGTATTACTGTAGCCTGAGTTGCGGTAGTTTTAGTGGAGTTGGTAAAAATACAGTAATCCAAAAAAATTTTCAAAACTAGTCATGATTATACTCATTTTGAAGCTCTTGACAAGCCTAGTCTAATGGTAGTAAATTCAAGTGTTTACGGTTTTTGTAACTAGAGATACAGTGACTTTAATGTTTGGGATGAAACTACAGTAATCCCGAAAATTTTTCACATTTTTATCTAGTCATGATTATACTCATTTGAAAGCCCTTGTTATGCTAAATTGATTGGTGTAAATTTCATGTTCCTAGGATTACTGTAACTCGAGATACGGTAGATTTAGTAGCGTATGCCAACTACAGTAATCCAAAAAATTTCTCAAATCTGGTCATGATCATACTCATTTTGAAGCTCTTGACAAACCGAGTCTAATAATAGTAAATTCTTTTTTTCGTTACGGTAGTTTTAATGGGGCATCCCTTAACACCTCTAATTGAAGAACCCCTAACTTTGAGTCAATTTATCTTAGTTCCAGTAAGAGATATCAAAAAATGGTCAACTGATAAAATGTTTGTCATAATATCAGAAACATTTTATTAGTTTATCACTTCTTGATATCTGCTACAGTAACCGAGATAAATGACCTTAAAATTAAGGTAGGCAACCGACTGCGTAGCTCAGCCGGATTCTTAACTTCTCAAGAATTACTGTAACTCGAGATACGGTCAATTTGATATTTGATATTTGAAGCCTTCCGGGCCGGGCCGGGCCTTCAACGATTTTCGCAAGAATGTATCAGTTGATATTTTTTGATATCTTTCACAGTAACCAAGATACATGAGCTCAAAGTTGGAATGGCTGCTCAAGCGAGTTTAAGACTTTGAGCTCAACTATCTCTCTTACTGTAAGAGAAATCAAAAAGTGGTCAACTGACAAAATATTTGTAATTACATCAGTAACATTTTATCAGTTAACACATTTTTAATATCTCCCACAGGAACCGAGAAGAATAGCTCATCGTCTAACAAAGCCGACAAGCGCCGACTTGTGAACTTTGAGCCCTTTGTATCTCAGTCCCTGTGAAAGATATCAAAATTTTATTAACGAAACAAATGTTGCTGATATTACGGTAAACATTTTATTTGTTGATAATCATTTGATATCTCTCACAGGTAATGAGATATATGACGTCAAAGTGCGAACTTGTTGAACCTATGATTACAAAGAAAGAAGTCATTCTAGGTAGAAGATTGAGATGGTAGCATTGAATTATAGGATTTCTAGAAAATCGAAAAATCCAAAATTTGAAGAAAAGTGAAAGAATACTGTAGATTTTGAGAAAATTCGAAATGTAAATGTGCTAGAAACTGTAGCAAAAATATCGTAGTATCGATGAAATCGCTGATACAGTGGCATCCTGACCTTCTAAATTTGAGCCTGTTTATCTCGCTTCCCATAAGATATATCAAGCAATTGTCAACTAATAAAATGCTACTGATATTATGTTGAACATTTTATCAGTTGACCATTTTTTGATATCGTTTACAGGAACTAAGATAAATTGACTCAAAGTTAGGGGTTCTTCAATTAGAGTTTTTAAGGGATGCTCCACTAAAACTACCGTAACTCAAAATACAGTAATCTTTGAAAAACGAATTTATTACCATTAGACTAGACTTGTCAAGAGCTTCAAAATGAGTATGATCATGACCAGGTTTGAGTAATTTTTTGGATTACTGTAGTTTAGCTTGTTCTACTTAAACTACCGTATCTCGAGCTACAGTAATCCTGCTAACTTCAAATTAATACCATTTGACTTGTTTGGCTGAGAGCTTTAAAATGAGTATAATCATGACTAGATAAAAAAGTGATCAACTGATAAAATGTTACTGATATTATGATAAACATTATATCAGTTGACCACTTTTTGATATCTTTTACAGGAGCCTAGAAAAATGGGCGTTTACACTATTTACACTGAATGAATAGATCTTGCAAGCTCACTCGATGACTTGTTTGCTTTAAGCCCGCGTATCTGGGTTACTGTCAGAGATATCAAAAAGTGGTCAACTGATAAAATGTTTAT